CCTATTTTCGGAAACCCCCAAACTGGGTTTTTGCGCATGACGGTGCGTCGTTGTGCGTGCTGCAAGCACAGCATGGATCTGATTTCACACCCGGGAACTCGCAATCTTTCAGAACTCGAATCCTCAGATAACCTGGAGCCTTCGCCCGAAAGCCGGGGAAATCCATGCAGACACCCAACTGGTAGGATCGTTCTTCGAAGGACGCCCCGCCCCCCCTCAAAACAAAGATCCCTGATGACATAGGAACCCTTGAGACCCTGAACCCAAAACCCTGAGTCCAAACCCAACTCCTCGCAGGTGGGAAGACATCGTTGAGCGCCTTAGCTCCTTATTCACGGCTCTGGATACCTCACAAGAACTTGAGGCTTTCGCATATGCTGGTCGTCGGGGTGTAAGACAGAGCTTATGGATTTCAAGCTTGAGGGCTTACGGTTCTAGGTTCATGGCACCCTTCGCCCTGACTTTTAAAGCACCTCTCTTGCTGCTGCTCTTCTGTTCCGTTTTCAAAGTCCGAAGCCGTAAGATCGAAACTCTGCGCGGTTGATTGTGTTATCAGGTCCCCTGAGTCGAAAGGGAGGGCAGGAACCCAAACCCTCAACCTAAGACCCTGAAGCCTTCGATCATATTCGACAAACTACAGCTTAAATCCCCAAACCCTGAAACCCTGAATTCTTGTAGATGGTACCGAAGTCTTCTCTTTGTCTAAACCTTTTTAAACCCTAAACCCTACACCCTATCCTTCCCAAACCCATACATGTACCTGAAACCTAGAACGATTGCTGCCACGAAAATCTTTTTATCCTAAGGTTTGATGGTGTTGAAGGCTTAGCATTTGCAGAAACCTCGTAGAAGTCTCGTATGAAATCTATAAGCCCCTTGTAGCACCTTCACAGAAACGTCATACAGCCTTCAGAAAACCCGTACAGAACTCTTGTACCAAACCTCAAAGAACCCTTGTAGAACTTTCCAAAGCCCTTGTAGAAGCGCATGCAGGACAGGCTTTGCAGAGCCCTTTTATAGCCTTCTTTGGGTCATTTAAGGCCTTTTTCAATTTGCCTCTAACCCCCAAGGCCTACGACCCTTGCAACAGAAAGTGCCTATAAGATCTATAGCTCTAAATTCGAAACCCTAAGCCACCTATAGAACTGCATCCAGGTACTTGCTCGAAGCTCGAGCCGACCTGGATGCAAAGGATTCGGAGGGCCAGACCCCTCTGGCTCCTCGCTTGGCTGGGGATTTAAGGTTTTGGGTTTTGTCGCAAGGGCCTTTAGGGGTCAGAGGGTTTAGGGCCT